GAAAGCAGTGTGACGAAATCATGTATAGCCTAATACAAAATCACTTAGACGTCATGCATTGAACTGTGCAGACTCGATTCGATCACGAATCCAAGAACTCCAACGGAATATTTCCCACACAACTTCAGCCCTATACCAAGTACTCTCGGATAGACGTGAAAAATTTATGGAATATGTTAATATAGTTGCCGAGAGAACTCACCAATAGTCTCATACCGATAAAACCTCAGAGTAAATTTCCTTCCAACCCAACGAAATTTGTGTTTAACTTCTCTTTAGTAACTTAGTTTGACTTGCAGCAAGAAGTCTTGTCTTTGGACCCAAAATTCTGTAATACCCATCTCAACGTCGACAAACTTCATACTCATGAACAGACTGAGAATTTAATAAGCCAAACTAACGATCTGGTTGCAACATCTAACGAAGAGTTACAAAAATTCAAGTCAACAATAATCATTTGGTGACAAGAGTACTTCAGCACGAAAGCAAGAGTACACAGTCACCTAACAAAGTAGCACCGACAAGAATCAAAACAGCTGAGAGACGATGAAGAACCTTTAAATAACTCGTCCTGACAAGGGAGCTGGTGTAGTTCTTTAGCACCAAAAAGACTATATGCGGGAAACGAAGAGTATATCCTCCGACGGAAGTAAATTTTCTCAACCTCCCAACGAAAGAAACAAAACTGAACTGATTTAGAAAAAACTTACAGACGTATTGAAAAGAATGAAAACTGACAAGTTAATTAGCTACGAACTCTATGATCGAAACTGAACGACAGATTCAATAATACCAAGGCTTTATAGTTTACCAAAGATACACAAAGCTGGTCATCCACTTCTAGATATTTCACATTCCCCTTATCATTCTCTTGCAAAATGGCTGGCTGATATTCGGGAAGCTGTAAGGAAACACTATGTATATACTCGCTTCGTGATACCTTCCAATTCGTCGATTACATACAAGATATGAATATGACTAACAAGAGTATGCTATCTTTCCACATTGAATCACTGTTCACCGATGTACCATTAAGAGAAACTGTCTGTTTTATATGTACATACATAGGTGACAACCAGTTCAACATTGGAATACCAACATATCTAAAATAACTGCTACTTTCAGTGACACAATCTGCAGACAAAAAGACGGTGTTGCAATGGGATCTCCCTTGGCTCCAGACTGCTTCATGGCTAACCTTGAAAAAGGCCCAATGACAATTTGCAATTGTATGAACGATATGCAAATGAGATTTTCGTCGCTCGCGACAACAGTTACGACCAAAGTCAGTTGCTACAAATATTCAACAACTGTCATCCGGCAAAAAGATTCACTCTAGAAATAGAATACGAACCCAAAATCCTCTTTCTTGATGTTTAACTAACATGACGACCTGACGGAACCTTAAGAAGGTCAATCCATAAAAAACACACTTGGAACGGTCAACTAACAAATTTTTACAGTGGGTATTTATTCAGCAGAAACAAAGTCTGATTAAATCCCTTGCCAATCGGACCCGATGCATTTGCAGTCCTGACACCCTAGCAGCTGAACTGGATTTTCCGAAAGAAACCTTCATCCAAAATGAATACCCACCCACCAAGATTCATCCACAAGAATATCAAACCAAAGGTCCACTGAAACGAAACATTACTGGATTTCAAGGGAGAGTCAGCTTGCGATGTCTTCAAGAGAAGAATTTCAGTATCTTTGCAAGAACATTCTTCTCAGCAACGTTAACAGTAGTGTTATCCATTCGTCAATTGATATGCAGAAGCCTTAAGGACAAGTTCTTGCATCTCGCCACTTCTATGTGCATATAGCAGTTCATCTGTTGCTGTGGAGCCAGCCAGGTACATTGATGGTTCGGCACATATGCTGTCCAAGATGCTTCAAGAACACTATGCCTCATGGCTGCAAAAAAGTAATAATGGCTGTGCAAGGAGAGCGATAGTCGAACATCTCGTCATTCCATTTCAACAAATGCCACCTCCTTCAAAGTAAAGAAGAACAGGCTGCCAAAGGCAATACACTTTCGTCTCCTTTGTATTGCTTAAGCCTTAGCCATTCAGTTGGAGAAATCGGACTTATGCATTCAAAAGAATATCATCCAACCACTTCTACTAGCATGGTGACAACCGTGTTGACTTCTATTGATTTAATATTTGTGTGCTTGTTTTTCGTCTCTTCTAACTCCTCATAGCATTTGTAATTTCTGGAACTCTTACACAATTCCATATTTACCTTTGTTCCAATGTGCCTCCTAATCACAACTCACTCATTAAACCACTCATCTTATTAGGCAACTGAATTTCGCTTATGTTTTTTTGACAACGCATCACTACCACCCTGCTACCAATCTCCACCTCCATACCCTAAGTTACAATTTAATTATTCATCACATTTTTTGAAATATCTTGACAACAACAATTAAGCCTAACTTACTTTTATTCTTATCGGACAAACCTAATGTACACTCACACACACACATACATAGAGACCCTTCGCTGAAATACGTGTTTTGTTTTCACTAATGTCTGGGTGGGTGGAGGTATTATTCATACTGAGTTATCTTGTCTTCCCGAAGTTAAACCTTCGAGAATAAGTCATACATCCAAAAAAAATAGACAAGGTTAAAAGGTTGTCGGTTGAGAATATAATCTGGCAGTTCATAGGTGTTTAAAAAAAATCCAATGCTCCCAATTTCAGCTGTCTAATACGAAATCGAATCTTTTTGACTGGACACTAGTCAGTAACTAGTGTAATGTGTGTCCAGTCCCATGTTTGGTACAGCCTGAATTGTATCAGTCAAATTGGCTATGTGGCCACCATACTAGGTGGTTCACCTTCACGATACACAGTGAATGGTTGGTATTAGGTGGTTGGAGGCAATTGACGAGAAGCCTCGTCTGACCTGGGTTTCTTGCTAGTTAGCACTCGTCTGCAGGGTGTACCTGAAACCTTGAAGGAACGCATGTCCCTTCTGACAAAATTCAGTCTGCACCACAGATATAATTAGACCCATTACACTAGCTAGTGACTAGCATCCAGTACAATTTTACAGAAAGTCAATCGCCAACCACAATAGCTCAGTAGTAACGTCTCTAACTGTAGCACTGGGTGACGCGAATTCGAATCTCAAAAGAGACATCAGTTTCTTCAGTAATGCAGATACGCCTTGCTGACTAGTAAGTGCCAACTAGCACGAAACCTAGGCCGTGAGCTTCCTGTGTCCGACTGCCTCCAACTATCTAATATGAAATTTAACCTATTTAACATGTTGGCGTTCTTCCCCAACCTAAAATAGGTATTCCTCCCAAGGACACCGGACAACTGTAAACATCACCTTACTATATCTCTACTTTTTGTAATGCTAACTGTATTATCAATATCACGGCGTGCTGTACATTTTATTCTCCGTTTCACGATTTATCATTATATTGCCTAGTCGTCGTGACAATAGTAATTTTCCCCTCTACCCCTACTAGTATGGACATTTTACTTATACACTCACCGTTGCCTAGATTATATAAACACTTAAATGAATTTATCCTTGTTATTATTTACTATGATCACCTCAACTGTTATCCACAATTAATTCACATCCCTAAACTCTGATCCTATATTTTATTAAGCATCTTAACTTCAAGGGATCTTAAACAGAATATGTTACTTATAGGACACGATCTTCAGCGAGTACGTGTTTTCGGTCAATTCTTATCAGTTTTTAGATTCATATAGTGAAATATTAGTGATAGGCATTTGAATTATTGTTCGAAATATCATAAAAGCTTCAAAGGCTTCTACTTTTTTTTCTAATGCTTCGCAAAACAGAATATTTCAATTCCACTTCAAGTGTTCCATGTTTTTTGGGAATGGAAACCAACGCCTTTTTTCACTGTCTCGATGAGAATCTGAAGGGAGAAAACAAAGCTTAGCTGTACATACAATTGTAAGAATCTTAAACTATTTTCGACTTATTATAATAAAGGTTTTTGTATTTCCCGACGAATGAAAAACAAAACGATATTGTTTTTACTGACGTTTCGCTACTTAGTGCTACATCGGACAAACTTCTCGAGAAATCAAAATCAGAAGAAATGAACACCGTAGAGCTTCTCTTCGACCACCGAGAAATCCAGTTGAACTAGAAAAACTTGAAAAATCATCAGCCATACGTCTACATGTTATAGAATCAGGTCACAAAATTGATTATGACGATATTGAAATAATCTAGAAAAACTTCAGAAATCACAATGAACGTCTAATATCAGAAGCACTTCATATCAAGCGGAATCCAAATTGCCTGAATAGGAATGATGGACTAAAACAGAATCTAACCTGGTTACAACACTCCCCTCCCCCATGAAGTGACAAAATCATACACAATAAAGTGATAAGCAAGTTTCACTATGTAAACACACGCTGATTCTACAATTTTACACACTGATCAAATCCAACAATCTACACTTGATTTTGATATCTTTACCAACTGACCAACTTGACAACGAAAAACGACCTCAAACAGACGAACGATGATCAAATTAGTAAACTTTGTTTTGGTATCATAACAGACGTACTATTACCTTTGCTATTTGGTTTAGTGGTCTTCACTGCTATTTTGACTTTAAATATGTCCATTTAACTTAACCTAAGTTTATTTTCTCACCCCTTAACTCTTTATTATATATAAGCCGAGGGGATTTTGTGAATTCCGGTTTAATAATACTTTGATAAAGTTATAAGCAGCATTAAATGGCGAAACGTCAGTAAAAACAATGTCGTTTTGTTTTTCATTCACTGGGAAATCCAAAAACCTTTATTATAGTGAATATCATATACCCCATGCCCAAATTTTTTCAAACCGTTAAAGGTGAACTTGCTTTGGACATATATATTTTCGACTTAGTTACAAAATTAGATATTTCCTGTCTTCACTGTTGCTAATTAGTTTTAATAGACAGAATGTTATCTAAAAAATCAACTATTACCAATAACGACTTTATTCCAAGCGTAGAAATTCTCTAACTTTTACACAGTATCCCTTCCCGGCCCCCTTGATATAAAACAATTCGCAGTTATGAACAGAAAGAAAAAACAACAACAACAATATTATGCTCTTAGATTAATCTTCAATTTACAAAATAATGTGAACCAATGCAATTCACAAAATGTACATCATTACAGTGCAGAAAGTTTTGCTGACATGTATAATCAAGCCTATCGAAAACAATCCCACAACAAGTTTAAGGACTGAATGATTGCCGATAAACTTAGCTGTATACATTATTTTACAATTACTGTACAATGCAGTTTAAATTGTCAGAAGTATGCAGAATAGTGAGTCAGTTGTTCATGTTCTGTACTTTGTTAAAAGACTTTGAGGTCAACAGCATTAATTAGTAAGATCTGAACACACTTTTGAAGTTCATAATTGATTATTTTTGTGGCATACCGTTCATCAAACTGTCATTGATTTTTATGAATAGCAGTAAGAATACCATCTGATTCACATAAAATACTTGATCTGTTTGTTAAAAAATAAATAAATAGATAAATGTGTGTAATGTGACAGGGCTTACTTTGATTCATATTCAATGACTACAACTGGTGGTTCTGTACTCTCTTCAATGCCTGCAGCATGTCTATATATGCTACTCAATATCCCTGAAGTTTGATCATTTACAGCTCCATGAGAAGCAATACACAGACCATCGGAATCAATGCATTGGACTCCTGTGACTTTTGGTTTGGATGACCTATATTAATCAAGATTTAAATCAACTACATAATGTTACATATTATTAAATTGAGATAACTTCACAACTGTATTTTAAACACTGTGAAACTGTCTGTCTGTTTTCAACACAGAACTCTGTTGCACTGATGTGCAGCAGTTCGAGTCGCCACAATCGATGTAGCGCACAAAGCAAGAGAAGAAATGCATAATAGAGACAGTAGATAGGGATATGAGACGAAAGGAATAGTAATAACGAAGAACAATATAGTTTCATTGGAAATCATAAGTCACAAGGAGTGGATGCATCTGCGCTGTCACTGAGAATGATTTTGAGCCATATCACCAATTGTCTCCAGCCACTGGTGTTTACCATCCTGAGGACCCCAACCAAGAAGTCTACACCTTCTTATGCGGCTTAAACTAACTGTTGTGGATTTCATTGACTGATGAAGCCATGTTTCGGTTCTCCCATCACCAGTTCTTTTCCAACCTGACCCTATGTCAGCTAACATTGCCCGTCGACGAAGGCGATGGCTAGACATACGTAACACACTTCCTAACCATCTCAGTCGATGTGCCCTCACAGACTCGTCAACTGATTTTCCCTCCTAACCTAGCACTCGATGCCTAACCCCAATATTACTCACCCTATTGTACCAATTTACACGGTAGATAGAATGCAGGCACCTATTATCAAAGACAGCTAATCTTTTCATGTCTTCCACTCTGTGGCCAAGTCTCAGCCAAAAAGGAGAACGGAGCGGACTGCTGAGCAGTACAACAGCCCTTTGGTCGACAACCAGTCGGATATCACGTCTACTAAACCAGAGACGGCGTAAACTGGCATATACGAAACTAACCCTCTGAGTCCATGCTGAGATTTCGTCAGAGATCAACCCGTTTGTACAATAGGTCTCATTCACTGATTAATTTTCGACTTCCCAAACTCCACTTGATATAGCAAAGTTGGTATAAATGACGAACTTGTAGCAACTCAAGAATAGAGCCTAGTGGAACATAACTCTACGAAAACAAACACAAACAGATACAAAGAAAGAACAAAGAAGCATTTATTTGCAACAACTTGATTATCAAGTTTTACAGTTGTGATTATATTACGTAGAAGAGCAATAAGTCAGTAGAAACTATGTTCGTTAGGATCAGCCTAACGAACACAGTTTCTAAAATCCTAGGCTCAGTAATCATCCACAGGCTAAGCAGAATTAGGGAGGAACAAACGTGGGAAAATCAAGCAGGCTTTAGACCAGGTAGAGGGTGCATAGATCATATCTTCACTCTCCGACAGATTCTAGAACATAGACACACTTTTCGGCGTCCAACAATTGTCATATTTCTTGACTTGAAGGCGGCCTTCGACTCCGTGGATCGAAAGGTACTATGGCAATATCTGACTGTGAAGGGAGTGCCAAGAAAGTACATTGCACTAATCAAGCCTCTCTATTCAAACTCATGTAGTTGTGTAAGGGCTTATGGTGAATTGTCATCTGAGTTGATAACAACCAGTGGTGTCCGACAGGGATGTCCACTTTCCCCACTTCTGTTTAACTTCATCATAGATATGCTAATGGAAGTATGCTTAACTGAACTTAATGACTTAGGAATCGACTTGTTACCAGGGAATAGTCTTATGGACTTAGAATATGCAGATGACATAGTCCTGTTAGGGGAGGATGCTGACAAAATGCAGAGTCTTCTGAACACCTTGAGCAGCAATCTTCGTATGTTTGGCATGCGATTCGCCCCTACAAAATGTAAGATGCTGCTATAGGACTGGACCACGTCAACTCCTAGGTTAGTGATAGGGAGTGAAGTGATAGAACATGTTGACCACTTCACCTATTTGGGAAGTTGTATTAGCACCAACGGACTGATTGGCGATGAAATCTCAGCACGGATCCGAAAAGCTCGAGCTGCTTTCGCTGACTTACACCATCTCTGGCGTAGGCGTGACATCCGGTTATCAACCAAGGGACGTGTGTACTGCTCAGCAGTTCGCTCCGTTCTTCTCTATGGCTCTGAAACATGGCCAATACGAGTTGAAGACATGAAAAGGTTGACTGCTTTTGATCATAGATGTCTACGATCTCCTTCTCACGTTAGGTGGTATAATAAAGTAAGTAATGTTGACGCTAGGCGTAGAGTGTTGGGCAAAGAGGGAAAATCAATCGACCAGGCTATAAGGTTACATAGACTGAGATGGCTAGGTGACGTTCTGCGCATGCCTAACCATCGCCTCTCCCGACGACGGGCATTACTAGCTGATATAGGTGCAGGTTGGAAAAGAGTAAGTTGTGGCCAAACAAAATCATGGCCCCATCAATCCATGAAATCCTTGGCAGTTAAAGTGAGTCAGGTAGGGAGATGCAGACTTCCGGGTCGGGGCCCTCGGGACTCTAGGAATCAATGGCTGGAGACAATAGATGACATGGCTCAAAATCGTTGTCAGTGACGCCGATGTATTCAGTCTCTGTAATCTTTCATATTCCTTTCTACCATTACCCATTCTGTTTCGCTCTTATACCTGTCAAACTCTATTGATTCTCTTCACTCATCTTCTTGTCTACCTTTGTGTGCTATTTGGAACGTGGCAACTCGAACTGCTGCAGTTCGGTGCCAAGCTCTATGTTGAATCCTGACAGACAGAAACTACTCAGTCGATATACATACGATGAAAAAATTAGCAAGGTATGTGAAAGAAAGAGAGTTGAAATGGATGAATTACAAAATTATATACAATCGTTAGAGTGGAATTATATTCAATTTTGCCTTTTTTTATATATATCATGCTATTTATTTTTACCATATATAACATCGACTGAGCAATTTTTAGTGTCACTTATCGGCGTTCAACAGAAAACTATAATCAGAATTATTATTATTGTTAACATTCTCCAAAGCCTCAGGATGGTCGGGGGTGGGTGTCTTGCGCTGCGGGTTGGCCACCCCTCCGTACACCTCTTGAAATGCTCCCATATGACCGGGCGTCTTACATAGCCTCTCCTGAGGAAGTCCTACTCACTGCCTTCACGTGGCGGAGGTGTTTTTCACCAAAGTGAGAGGGCAAAAGCGGATGCCCGGCGCTCTTCACCGGGTTGACTGTCCATTGGATGACAGTCTAGGGGAGATGGCTAAACCCTGATTCCAAACCTCCAACGACTGGCGTATGAAGCTCACCGGCAGACGTATAGACAAAGGGCTTATTGGATGCCCTGGATGACTGGCCCCATTCAAAAAGGCGAATGAACCGGACTCCGGTCACCGGCTGCCAATGGATAGTGGACTCCCTACTCCACTCCTACTGCCTTGTAGGTCACACTTGGTTGTGTAAAGGCTAGAGCTGCACTCTCAAACAAAGGCCGAGCGATGCTGGGGACATCACTCGTACCCAATTCCCATGAAACTTCATGGTTCATGAAGCCGGCTCATCCTCCCGTAGGAGATAGCCGAAGTAAAGTAAGTAGGTAAGTATTCTTTTATTAAATTTCAGTTTTTGAGGTTCTATTATAAAGTAGTAGAGGGGGTAAATTTTTGCAGTATGTACAGCACTGAAAATTCTATCCTGTATGAAAAATTGTTTAAAATAAAGCGATTATCACTACATATGATTATCATACAGAAAAACCTCACATCGGTATGACGTTTAAGATGATAGACAGAATTCAAAGGATTAGTATCATCTTTTCGTATGAGTATCTTCATATTTTCCGATGTAATTATAACACACTTAACACTTCTTGGGATAAGAAGAAAATATCCGCGGGTTAAAATAAACCAACCATCTCAAATGATGGTTTATAAGTTACTTGTAAGCATTTCACATGATTCCTACTATTGAAGTGTTATTCACGTAAGAGATATCAGGTTATTAGATTTTTCTTACATCAAAAGTTCAGTCACCTTTGAATGCGACAGTGCTAGTGAAGACTTGCCTAGGTGAAAATTCTGACAGCATGTAGAAAGCCACAATTACATGGGTGAACATAGGTCACCTCATTGCTGTTTGACTGCTAAGATCCACGCTGAAAGGAATTATCTGCATGCATTTCTAATTACACATATGAAACTTGAACCTACTTAGCTGAATCCTGACTACTCCAAATTTTTTAGCACTATTATTTTTCTAGGACTTTGCATCAAGTGGAAACGTGTAGGGCGACGTACGTTTGAGCATCACATTTATCCCGACCTTGACGTGGTGGTCGGGCTTGTATACCGCAATGACCCAACAAGCTACACTGGCTGGAAGTTTTGTTCCTGCAGGTCCTACCGTGCCAGAAAGGTTGTTAGGATAGCGATTAGACTAAAAGCAGTTACTGGGATAGTGTAATGTTTTCCTACACTATGTTGGTGGTCTGTGGGCAAAGTCGTGCTGCCGGGGAATAGCGATGTAATAACAGTAAAGTGTTTCCCTCAGATGACCAGGATGTCAGCTATGCTGTCTCTCCACTCTCTCTCGAGAGAGAGGGTTGGAAAAGGTCGACCCCAAAAACTGTACATCAAGACTTACTCTACAGTGTGTGACCGGCCTCAAGGAGTTGTCAATTGGGCTCTCTGATCACACAACACTAACTTTATTTGTTTCAGGTACCCCAAGTGTCAATCAACTTTTACGATATGGGCAACCGGGAAGTAACAATCGCCCACACACTTTCAAAAGCACACGAAGCCCTCTTGAATTACATCCTCATCTATTATACTGTGATCTTGGAACATGAGGTTAAGTGGTAGGTAACATTCATAACGTTCGATGCTTTTGAACCCTCTAAGTAGCTAGAGAAATGGTAAGGTGTGAATGACTTTGGATAGCACGTGTTGGCAAATCACAGATTTCTGTGTAGCATTCAAAAGATATTTCGATTCGATGAATTGAGATATCATCGGTACATTACGACGGTTTATAAAACAGCGGTGATCATGCGATGGGTACATTTTTTTAATGTATTCGTAGAGACCGCTTATTTTTTTAATGCCATTCTTTAACCCATACTTCTTCCTTCTGCTACTATTGTCACGCTATACTGGCAAATTTCCGCGTCTAATATGGTATCAAGTATGCACTATGTAGAAACAACATTCGGAGTAATTACATTATTTCAACACGGTGGTACAGCGGTTAGGACTCTCGTCGACCGTGCACATGGTTCGGGGTTCAATTCCCTGCCGACCCACACCTGAAATCTATGATCGGCCTGCAAAAGTTGGGCTACCGATATCACATGATGAAAATTTCATACTTGTATCCAAAATACGCTGTGGAATCAAGCTATAATCAAAATAACACCACTCATGTACTGAAAATGAGTTGTTAAGTCTGAGGCGCGGAAAACATTGTAAGATAATTCAACACTAATGGGGGTACTTTCAAACATCCGGAATAAATGTCTTAATCCAACATGAACTGGAAGACTTATTTTTCTTAGTTACTTCGAATATTCAATGGAAGAAAAGTGATAATGAACACATTCATACGAGAACACGGTTGAATTAAAATTAAGGAGATGGGGAAATGAAGAAACCGAACTCAACGACAAGCGAAGTAACCCCGGACAATTAGTTCCATCACTGGTTTATAATCCACTGGTTGATGGCCTTACAAGGATCCGCACTGACAAATGACGTGCCTATTTCCAAATATGTGTATGTGAGATATATTTCTGCCCAGTAGATTAGTTATTTCATGGAAAGATTTTGACAGGAAATGTGAAGGTTATTTTGATGGTTGTTGAGTTAACCAAATTTCGTTGATCCTCATATAAGGCGGATAACCGTCAATTGCGTCGGTGGCGCAGTGGTTAATGAGCTCGCCGACTATGCACGTGGTCCGGGGTTCGATCCCCCTTGTATGTAAAAGTCATACTCGTTAACCATGTGAGAGGTTGGTTGATATTCGATTATTAAATTTAAAAGCTTTGTTAGATTCGACTTAATGTCCAGTATCAACGAGATGAGCCAGTACTGAACTGCTTATGGCTTTATTCGGACCTTTGTCAAACCGCTATTTGCATGATACATGTATCAAAAATACTGTGTGGAGTCAAGCTATCCAATATCCAATATCGTTTTTACGAGCTAGTATAAACCAATTTGATTTCTTTGTGCTCGCTTCTTGATTGTAAGGTATAGGTTCCTGATTTTCGGTAAACTTCTGCGTAGCTTGTCCCGCCACTCGACTGTCGTAGCTTTGGTTGACTCCAAAGGGAGTAGTGCTGGGATTAATTATATGTGGTTTGCAGTATGATGTATGTTAAGACTGTTACTACTGTGATTGGAGTTGATCCTTTCGCCAGTTAGTCCTTCGGTATCGTCGACAAGAGAAAAGAGATAGTAATAATAATAATAGTGATAATAATAATAATAGATATAATTAGTGAAGTTATTCAGACTAAGGGACAGAAACGGAAATAGGAAACATAACAACAGTCAGCTCATTAAGTTTGAAGAATAATATATATATATATATCGGTAATAATAATTATAATATTAATAAGTTGTCAGGAGAGTAAGACGGAAGCGAATGAAAAGTAAAACGACGAGTTTAATTGTCTACCCCTGAATGGTATGTGCAATTTTAAGGAGATAGGCCATTTGGATGCAGTCCTTGTATCGCTGCATGGTTGTCCAGCCTTCGCTTCAAGGCGTCCAAAGACGGTGCCATAGCTACATCTGCCGGCAAGGAATTCCAGGGACGGCAAACCCGCAGTGAAAAGAAGTGGGAGCGCACCCGGGTCCTTGCCCTCTGGTGAGCTATCCTTTTGGGATTTCCACGTGGGAGTCTATACCTACTCAATGGCAGAACACCTTTGTTTGGGTGATTCTGGTCATTTGTTATTTTGTAGGCAGTAATCAAATCCCCCCTAAGCCGACGGTAACTAAGTGTGAACAGGCCTAATTTCTTCAGTCTTTCATCATATGGTTTGTTTCGGAGACCAACCACTCCTTTTGTTGCCCGTCGTTGGACTCTTTCCAATATCTTGGCGTCTCTTCTCAGCATTTGGGGTGCAATAATATTATGCACCTTAAGGTGTGGTCTGACGTATGTTTTGTACAACTTTAGAAAGAGCTCAAGAGTGAGTGCACCTAAGTGTCTATGCGTAAAGTGTATGACCGCATATGCCCTCGCTACATCCCCTGTGTAATTTACGCTTGTGTCGATTTTCTCCGTTAGAACTAGACCTAAGTCGCGTTCCGACGTTGTGCAGGACAAGCTTTCATTGCACAGGGTGTAACTTGCATTCTGCAATCTACAGGTGCGCAACTTTACTACTTTGTACTTTTTCAAGTTGAAAGTCATGCCACTGGCCACCACCCAGTCTTCCAGAAGGTTTAGGTTTTCCTGTAGTCTATCTGAGTCCTCCGGACACTTCATCGCCCTCCATATTTGATTTTATTGATATTATGATATAAAAAAACTACAATATTGCAGTTACCGGGCACCCACATCTTTCTACTGAAATCATTTGTGTACGCCATTTGTCGAACATGTAGCAGAACACAAAAGCTCTCATTCTGATACTTATTACAGGGATCATATCAATACTGTACAGGACGTCATCACTTGACTAGTATTAAAAGCTCAAAATTTACGAAATAAGTACCACAACACTAACCCACACCAAAATTTTACTGCTGCAAATTTTTAAATTGCTTTCTGACATTATTACGATTACATGGCATGAAGTAAAACTAAGAACTTACAGGCGTGCCAAACTTTCTGACAGTTTCGCCTCCATTCAAAACAGGTTGGTAGATCAGGTGTTCAATGTTTGCATTGAGTGTTACTGGAGCATTATGTGTTTGTCTTGTTTACTTGGCTCAGGTGTCATAAACCTAGCTGCCTATTTTTTCACGACCTCATTAGATGGAGATACAGTGATATATTTCCACCATGGCATTATTTTTGTTGGGATTTGAATTTCAGCACATCTGTCTTGTTTCATTACATGTGAGCCATTACACTAAAGATTGATTAGGAATGATTACCCAACTAGCATCACCAGCTCTACTATTTTAAAGTTAGGTTGGTTGCACACTGAAGAGGTTCACCACTCTGTAGTACTCGCGATGTCATTCGACTGTCTCCTTGGTGTGAGTCTTATCCATATCCATTTCCTACGGAATAACTTTTGAGCAGTAGGTTCAAGGTTCGTCCTTAGAGTTTCCTTTCGCTAATTATTTCCGGTCATTCGACCTGGAAAATAGGGCCAGAAAAAGAAGCCGGTGATGTAAGTCTTTGGCCAGCAGTCGGAAATTCTTTCCATCACTCGAAGAGCAATTTTCAGACTCCTGGAGTAGAAATGACTGACCTAACAATGTCGATGGAAATCCAAATTTCACTATTTATGGTGAGTGTGGAAGATTTTCAGATTGGTTTCAGAATGACGAGTGTGTTTCGTATTGAACTGAGTGGAGGTTTCCTAGCTGGATGAAGAAAGTGACCTTCACGTAAATTTTATGGTAGTGAATCTTGGTTGTTGTTGTTGGCTAGTTATTTCCATTACCTCCGTCTTCTCCCAGTTCATTCGAAGTTTTTTCATCACAGCCTCTTCTGTTAGTTTGTTGGACTTCGTCTGTAGACCTTCGAGTATGTGCAACATTAGATATAAATCAACCGCGAAACCGAGATCATGTAGGGTCTCTGCGAGGACAGACTATTATTTTCAGCTTTAAAATCACAACTAGCGTAATCGATTGGGTATTGATTATTTGTGGTTTGGATTTCCGACAAAATATAAAATACTCCGTCGTAACAGTCTTATTGACCAACATACTCCAGTATTCTCACTCCCCACAGTCCGACGCATAATCCAGTCCTCCACAGTTAGGAATATCATTGGTGATAATAGTTAGTCACCCTTGTCTCACCCCTGTATTCACTTTGAACGCCTCTCTGAAATTTCCATTGTGTATCACCCGACAAGTGGCACTGTCATGCAGGTGTTGGGTGTGGTTGATAAAAACATGGGCACTGCATGCAGTAGTGTTTCAAAATTACTTCAAGATCAGTGCTACCGAAAACTTTTGCAAAGTTGATGCAGTTCAGGTATGGAGTTGATTGTCATTCTATGTTCCGGTTGATGATGATGCGTAAACATTCACACAAGAAATATAAACAATCAACAGTAAGTATTTAAACAATACAGAGATAGATATAGTCAATCATCACATCCGTCACACGTCGAATGTCTCCTTGCGTATTCATAATGATATCGCGGCTTGCCTGCCAGTCTCTGCGATCTTCTAACTGATTCTGTGATATTATTTTCATCAGTATCATCTAGACTTATTTCTGAATTATCTACAAAATCAGGATTAGTAGCCGAGTCATTATAATCATAATCGGAAAGACCTACCTCATTTATTCTCACTTGATCCAAGTGTCTGTTATGAACTGAATTATCTTCGGTGTCTAATATCTTCACCATTCGATTTCCCACTCTTTGTAGTATGATACCAATAGAAGGTCTATAATCATTCCCTCTGTAATGATGTACATCAGAAGTCGTGGACATCAGATGCTTTCTGAGAATTCGGGATTTGAATAGTTTTGCAGGACTTTCACGGGTACTTGTATGCTCCGCATTGCGATATTGAAGTAAGAAGTTATCTACACATCTCTCTAGCTCATCAAAATTTTGAGGACTCATTGATGCTACAGCACTCTTTAATGTTCGTACAAAATTTTCTGCCAACCCGTTTGACTGAGGATGACGTGGTGCTGTGTACAAATGACGACAACCTATAAGTTTGAGCCAATCATTGAATTTCTTCTCCGTAAAATGAGTACCGTTGTCAGTAACTAAGACATCTGGAATTCCTTCTCGACTAAAAATCTTTCTCAACGCTCTGTCAGTGAATTTGGCATTAGGACTATCTGTAATGATGACTTCTGGCCATCTAGAATAAGAATCCACAATAACTAAAGCATAGTATGAATTTAAGAATGGAATGAATTAGAGGTGCCAAACGACTAGCATCAGGTCTGAAACCTTCGGAGTCTACTGTGTATCCCAAGCATGATACAGACGACAAGGTGAAATGACATTTAGATGGATTAACAAGAACATTATTCTCACATAAACGCCTGAACAGTTTTAAAAGACGTTCATTATGCAATTCGATATTAGGACCATGAACTATAATGTCGTCTTGGTATGACTCAACACCATCTAATCCATCTATCATCTGATTTATTACATTTTGAAATATTGCAGGTGAAACCTTTAAACCAAAAGGCAAGAACTTATACTTGAACAATCCAAATGGAGTATTAATGGTTGTTAATGCACTAGACGCCTCATCAAGAGGAATTTGCAAATAGGCATCTTTTAGATCTATTTTGGAAAAGTATCTTGAGCCATGTAGCTTGTAGAGAATGTCTTCAGTTTTTAGAGTAGTGCAACTTTGCTGTAGTAGACGACTATTGAGTGTAAGGCGGTAGTCACCACAAATTCTAGGTGTTTTTCCATCAGCCTTTAGTGGCGTAACAATAGGAGTAGCCCAATTTGAAGACTCAACTGGCATAAGTATGCCTTGCTCAACCAACTTGTCTAACTCTTTCTTAACTGCATCTCGCAATCCATATGGAATTAATCGGCGTTTCAGGAAGATAGGATCACCCTCTATTTCAAGATGGATGGGCTGAATCTTCATACCACCTACACTCTTTGAACATTGGAGAAGTAATTCTCTGAACAAAGATTCATCAAACAACTCAGTACAAAGTGAGATTTCGACATTTAACAATCTAAGGGCTTTTAATCCCAATAAAGATGGACCATATTCACTAACAAGAAAGGGAATATTTACAAAATTACCACTGTCTGATTTCAAAGAAATGTTAGTAGCACCGATAAGAGGTAATTTATGACCAGTTATGCCTGTAATTGAACTAGTAGTAGGGTCTATCTGGACATTCTTACAAATCGATTGTAAATCTTTCTTAGAAATTATAGATTCAGTACTCCCAGTATCAATTATAAAACAATGGGACTTGCCTGAACTTGTAGTGAAGGTTCTCATTAGATGAGATTGAGTATTGGGAAAAGTTGAAAGAGACATCGACTGCATTTTACCAGATAAATTGGAAGAATTATCAGGATTCTGAGTAACATAAGTATTCGAACTTCTGCAAACAGTCTTGATGTGTCCAACTTTACCACATTTGTGACACTTAGCACCCCGAAAACGGCAAGTGCTTCGTAGATGTAACTTTCCACAGGATAAACACGGTTTAATGTTTTTGATCTCTCGCTGCATTCTATTACCTGTGGACAAAAATTTGGATTGCTATCCATGAACACTTGTATTTTCGACTTTGGACAACATGACATCAGATACTGACGTAGTGGGAGCAGAGTATTCACTGTTGGCATCCTCATATGTAATACATAAATCTTTAGCAGTTTGAAAGGTACACGAAGGAATCTGAATTAACTCTTTATCTAACTTAGGAATATTGATTCCAGCAACTAGATAATCACGTTGACAATGGAGTTGAAGATTTAACGATCAATTCTTGGTTGTTTGCTCAAAATCAACTTCCCCAATTTTCGCGGAGGCATCAATACGACAGTCATCGTCTCATCGGTCTCTGTTCAGAAGGAAGAGTGAAACATCGTCAGAAGTAATACTATGATTTATTGTTGTAATATTTGTTTTCAGACCTTAGTTCAGTTATTCTTTTTATATGTTGGTGTAACAATAAAGAAATGTCAAGCGGCAGATCGGTATTTTGGTTTTTTCGTCCGTTATAACTGAGCGTTTCTGAAAACTTCAAGGAACAGCGTGGGCCCGAGCGTAGCGAGAGCTGGGCATTAACGGTTTATGAGACTTGATTGGCACACACAGTTGAGTATGCAGCTGATCTCCAAAGTTGCACTTTGAAGCTTGTATTTGAAGTTGAAGAATGAAGTCTCTTATCTTCTGATTGGGAGCACCAACCAGTTTATGGAATTGAGCCCTCTCTCTGGTCTCAAATGTAGTTACATGAAAGTGATTTATCAGAAGTTCACGAATCTTTACATATGACAGAGAAATAGGCTTGTCTGGAAACGTCAGATTCTTCACTAGGGTATATGCATCTAGCCCAATAGCAGTGATGAAATGTGCTGGTATTTTGTCATCCCGAACATTCTTGGAAATGCACCACGCAGCAAAGCATTCAAGGTAATCAGCAATCTCCCGCGGAGAACCATTTATTGGAAATTTTCCCAGGTTATTTAGTTCCATCGCGACGCCAATTTGTAGTAATTTATAGTAATCGTAGTATTAGTATTTCGAGATGACCGAATTACAAGAATCCAAACAGAACACAGAGAGGACGGAATTCAGGAATTTGTATTTAGCGGAATTATTATTCAATTCATATAAGAAATATATTAACAATCAACAGTAAGTATTTAAACAATACAGAGATAGATATAGTCAATCACCACATCCGTCACACGTCGAATGTCTCCTTGCGTATTCATAATGATATCGCGGCTTGCTTGCCAGTCTCTGCGATCTTCTAACTGATTCTGTGATATTATTTTCATCAGTATCATCTAGACTTATTTCTGAATTATCTACAAAATCAGGATTAGTAGCCGAGTCATTATAATCATAATCGGAAAGACCTACCTCATTTATTCTCACTTGATCCAAGTGTCTGTTATGAACTGAATTATCTTCGGTGTCTCTCTTCTCCTCTGTCAGCTTCAAGGCGTTCGTTAAGTACGATCCCCTGTCCTTCCTCTTCTTTTTTCCTACATATGTACACGCCCCCTCGGGCATCGCCTTCAGAGAAGTCCGGTGTTCTTCCTTACTGGTTTCCTCAGTGATGCCCCGTGGTGTCCTTAACTTCGTTCTTATATATGCAGTGAAGTTGTCCCTTAACAATAATAGTTCATTTTCTGGAACAGAAACAAGCCATTTTGTCTTTCAGCTTTTGAATGCTTAGCTTGAATTTCAGTG